TGCGTCGATCCATGCCAGGTGCAGGGTCTGCTGGCTGGGTGCTGGCAGGCTTGCACCTGGCACGGGCACCATAGCCAGCCCGTGCCCCTTTAAGGAGTCCGGGGCCGGGAGGGGGGCATACAGGTTTCCCTGGTGGTGCCCAGAGTGGCCACCAGGGAAAGCTGGGGAGGGCTAGCCTCCCACTAGTTCGAATAAGGGGCTACACAGCCCTTAATTCAAACTAGTAAATTCAAACTAGGTTTAGTCCTCGTACAATGAGGTTTACGTAGTTCGAACTAAGCACTCCGCTAGTTCGATTTAAGTTCGAACTAGCGGAGCGCTAGTGTAGCGCCTATCAAAGTTAATTCGAACTAACATCCGTTAGTTCGAATTAACTTTGTAGTGTAGACATACCCTGGGTCTTTCTGAGAGCCATTTGGTGCCAAGGCAAATTACCATAAACATATTTTAAGATACTTGAATAATTGTTTTATGATCCTGTTGAACTTTGCACAATGATCCAAATATTAATTTAATTTTTTTTGCACATATTCATTGTTTTGCCTTGAAGGTGTAATAGTGCCTTACCAGCTGCTTGCACCCCACTAGTTCTCCTGACATGAATTTTGTAGCATAACATTCTTCTTTCCTGTTTTATTTCCCTCCTCAAATTCTGTTTCACTACAGTTACTGAAAACAGGCACTTCTCTGTCCTTTTTCCAGGACTTTTTGAATATAATAGCTTTTTTTCTTTCGTGTTGACTGCCCCTAGCAGTTTGTAGTTCTTTTTTAATCAGTAGGTTTTCATAACCTTACTGCATGTTCCTTCTTCCAGATTATTGATATGTCAAAGTGAACAAAATTGGTCTTATTTTCCTTTATGTATCATGTGTACTTGAAGAGCTTTTATCGGTATCTCTTTTCCTCGCTGTATTTAAATAATTGTCTAAGTTACATTCAGCCTTCATTTTCCTTCATGTGCCTCTAATCGTTTTATATGATTTATCTTCTTTTATATGCCTTTCTTCCTTGAACATGTTCTGCTCACTTTTCTTCATCCTCTCTTTTGTATTTCTGCAATATTCATTGCTAACTCATGGGCAGTTGTTAATTTATCTTTGAACAAGTTTCATTTGCTTTTGTTTTGGTTTATGGTGTTAATTCAATTTCTTGCTAAGTTTGCTCAAGGAAAATCAACAAGCAGATTTGAAAAAGTAGGTGGTGGCTGTTTCCTAATCTCTGCCCACTTGTGACTCCAGAATGAGGAGCTACTCGCAACATTTAATGCAGATTTTCATAAAACGGTTACTCTTTTTTGGGTGCTTTGATCAACAACAAAAGTGTTAGGGTACACTAACCCCTAGATCGATCTAGGGAGACTAATGAGGGTGACCGGAATTGCAAATCAAGCCCGGGATTTAGCCTCATTCCCTCATTAGCCTCCCTAGATCGATCTAGGGGGCTAGTGTAGACGGACCCCCATTGTGTTCCTGTTAGGCTCCAGAATGAACATTCTTTAAGATAAACAAGATGTTCCATACTTCTCTAAGAGCTGTTCTTTCTTGATGGCTACCACTCCCTCCATCCTGCCACAGCAGGGAGATATCACTGAATCTGTTTATCTGCTACCATTCACACTGTGAAGTTTATTTTTGCAGGCCCAGTAGCTAGCAACTGATTTTTTTTAAAGTCTTAGATTAGGGAACACATCATGGCAGTCAGTAAGCAAAGAGCTGGATACCAAACCAAGGCTATGTCTATACTGCACCCTTCTTCCGCAAAAGCTATGCAAATGAAGTGCAGAGTAGACTATCACCACTCTTGAATGATTAATTAGGAGCTGTTTTTGCATAAGAGGCTTTTGCGCAAAAAGGAGCCCACCAATTAATTATGCAAATGAAGCACAACGCTTGATTTGCATAAGCTTTTGCGGAAGAAGGGTGCAGTCTAGACATAGCCCAAGTGTGCTCCACTTCAAAAGCCAACTTGTTGGTAAAATTCTCTGACGTATGGAACACTACAAAAATGCACTAGATCACTTCTAAATAGTTTTTCTCTGTCTCCATCTGTTCGCCATTAACAATTATAGTCATGGAGTTGTCCAAATGTAAATTAGGGATTGTACCCTTCTTGATTCCTTCTTTTTTATAGTACTTTTCTTCTTCATTATACATTGTGTCCACTAATACTTTAAAATACTTTCTCCAGTTAATCTATCAGAGTCCGTGTCAAATTTTCAGCTGGCTTTTGGTTTTGGCACCTGCAACTGATTACCCACACATCAGTGTGGGAGGGGGGGGGGGGGGGGATTCAATTTCCATGTGCAAATATGCTGCTTGTATGCCTACAACATAAGTGTTCATTTTGGTGGGTGCAAAAGTGAGAACCTTTGCAACAGTGGATTCCTAGGCTTGATACTAATTATTAGCTTTTTTCTTTCCACAGATCTATCCAATTTCAGTTATTATTGCATCATCATCCTGTTATAAAATTTTTGTAACAGTTGTTCCTTAATTTGAATCTAAGTAATTGTTTATATGGTTAAATCAAATATTAGATGGACAAGTGGTTTAGAAAGTGACACACTCATGTTGCTATACTGTGGAAAAGTACTAATGAATCGTATTTTCTTTTCAGGAAATAAGAGTAGGTGGTGTCAAATGTAAACAAGTCTTTAAGAAGGTACAGTAACCCTGGGCTGACCATTGCTGGTACAGAGCTGAAGAACAGAAGAAAATGTATGGATTTGCTACCAAAGCTCTAAGTGCCATTGGTGCATAAATAAATCCTTAAATTCTAGAGAGTAGATCCTGGTGAACATCTGTACACATGAAAGTAAAACTGTGTAGTGCTGTCTGCATAAAGTATTTTTTTAAAGAAAGCATTCTGAATAAACACAATTTTTAGAAATGCCAATTAAAGATATTGCAAATCATACATCTCTGTGTGTGCCTTTCTTTATGGGAGACCTAAGTCCAAAGTAATTTAATATAAGTGGGTTTGAGGCTTTTAAAATACTGTTATTTCTATTTTTCATTTACACTATGCCCACTTTACATTGCAGTAATCATGGAACAGTTTTAAGGTGGACTTCGTCTCTAAGAACTTGTGGTGGAGTATGTTCAAACCCATAGATAAAGGACTAGCTGGATCAGACCAAAAATTAGCCCACCTGTCAGTAACTGTAACTGTGTGTTAGGCTTGATTTTTTTTTTTTTGTTTTTTTTTGTTTAAATCAGACATGGCTGGGGAGAAGATGGGTGGTCATCTAATTGAAGGAATTGAAAGTTATTGTGGAGAAGATCTTGGAGAGACCCAGGACAAAAAAAATCAAAAGAACAGAGAGGTTTCTCTGACATTTGTAAACCTCTTTCTGTGATGAAGAAGCCTTTTCCTGAAAGAGTTCTTTCAGAAAAAGGCATGTGTGGACAGGGAAGAGGGAGTTCGTTCTAAAGAAGTGGAAAGAGGAAAAAAACAGGTGCCCTAGTGGACACTCAGTCCATAATAAGCACAGCTTAAATGCAAGATAGCGTCCATTCAGTGTAGTGTTTTTGCAGTGCAGACACTCTGTTTCGGAAGTTTTTTAAGAAGATCTCTTCCAGAAAAGCTTCTTCTGAAAGAAGCCTGCAGTCTAAATATAGCCAAAGAGTTCTGCGAAGTTAAAATAAGGGTTTTGAGAGAATTGGCACTCCCCTGCCCCCTCTTAAAGAGACAGAGTCATTTTGGGGGGGGGGGGGCGGTTCTCCTTGAAAAATTACCTTGGCAACACTAGGGTGTTCCTTGAAATTCTTTTAATATGAAAAGGGTTCCGTGGCCAAATTAAATTGGGAAATACTGTTGTAAGGAATGTAATTGTACAAAAACACAGCAAGCCAGATGAATTAGTTAACAAGAGCTAGATGGCTGGAAGATCAGGGACATAATCAGCATCAAATGGAAAACTCTTGAGTAGCAAACTGCTGGGCAAGAGTTTACCATGAAGGTCTTAAAATGAGCCAAGCAGTAGCTTTAGGAAACGTAGGGGAGGCTGGTATTGTTTAAGAAGTCATAGATAAAGATTTTGACTGCATAACATCCAAACCAACATGCTACTTTACAGAGGAAGCTAAAACTCTACTTTGATGCCTTGTTGCTAAAATCTTAATAGGAATAAATGCATAGCTCTGTGCATTGTTTAGAAGGTGTTGCAAGATAGAAAATGAATAAATTGCATTTTCTCTTTCCCAGGGAAACGGGCTGCAATAAAGATAGCAGATGGAGATTGTAAAGACAAGTATTTGAGATGATTTAAAGAAAATCTAGTGAAAGGTAAAGATTTTTGAAAAGTTTCTAGAAGTTATATACATGGCAAAACATTTTGAGAGTCTGCCTGTTCACTATAGTCATAACCAGGTTCCAGGGCTCCTGTTTGATAAGCCATTAGTTATTAACTACCATACGAAATTGCCCTTGTACCTAATGACCCCACAGAAAAGCTGCCTGTTTGATTACAATAATAATATGTCTCTAACAATTGGATTTACTTAGCTAGATGTTAATTGATCCACTTATGGCCTTCTACAAAAGAGTTTATGAATGTTGCATAAAAGATTGCAGGGAGCTGGAGGCGAAAATTACTAGATATTTGGTGAATCAAGGGTTGTAAACTGCCAAGCTCTATTGGAGGAAAGCTATTTTTTTAAATGTCTGGGTGGAACTGAGCATTAAAAAGAATCATGCAAAGTTTAATTACAGATAGTGTCTTGTGAATCATTTTGTTACAATATAATCTTAATTTTTACTTGTGAAGAATAATAGTGATACTTTAATTAATTGGAATTTGGGTTATAAATAAAAGGCAAAGAGATCAGTCATCATTGTTCTTTGTGTTACATTTACCTTGATCAGAGCTGTCAAATTTGCCAATGTAAAATCCATAGCTAAAAGGAAAGTGTTAGCTCCTAAACCAGCAACTTCTTCCAAGAGAAGGAAATATCTGATGTGTTGTAATGCTGGGATAACTTCAAACATTTTCTAAGTGTCAGAAAAATAGCCACGTTAGACTGTTAAAGACTAACAATTTTATTATGGCATAAGCTTTTGTGAGTTGCAACTCACTTCATCAGATGCCTCAGAAAAAGAAACAATAGGTATACAGAGATGGGAATTTTACACCAGAGCTAATTCAATTAGGGTAGATGTGGATAAGGTGAGAATACCTATAGTGGAAAATTAATTATTTTAATGAACAATTCCCAGTCCTTATTCAGACCCATTCTGGTGTTGAATTTACCTATGAAGTTCACAAACTACAGTCTTTTTTCTATTACAACATTTTGGCTGTGTCTACATTGGCACCCTTTTCCGGAAAAGGGATGCTAATGAGACACATCGCAATTGCAAATCCGCGGGGGATTTAAATATCCCCCGCGGCATTTGCATTTACATGGCTGCTGCTTTTTTCCAGCTTCGGGATAAGCCGGAGAAAAACGCCAGTCTAGACATGATTCTCCGGAAAATAAACCCTTTTCCGGAGGATCTTTTATTCCTACTTGGAATAAAACCTTTCCTTTCCATGGAGATTTGTCCCCAGGAAAAGAGGGAAATAATTTCCCAACCAGCTCCTGTCTGAAGCCCATTCAATGCGTATTCATTCTGTATATGGAGAGGCATCCAGATAAGATAACTCAGATTCTAACATAAAGTTGCCTAGAGATTTTCACCTGACCTTCACCTCAAGTGAAGCTAATTTTGGCCAACTGACAAGTCAATTTCAGCATGAAGTGTCTTAACTATAGCACACTAGTGGGATATACTGTACAGACCTTCCCAAAATGAACTTTTCAGACATACTCTACAAAACGAAAACTAAATTCCACCTTGGGAATACTTGGACTGTTGGTGACATATTTTAGCCTGTGATTCATCAGAATGAATTTTAGAAAACATGAAGTGTATGAGTAACGTTTTATTTTCCCACTTTGAACTTAACACTTCCCATAGAAGACATGAACTTTACTCTTCACAGTTTCAGATTTTCTTAGATGTGACATTAAAAAAACCCCACCTTTGGTCATTTCATAAAGTAGGAATTATTATTTACAAAGTGCTGGCAGAGTAGTTAGTTTTCTAAAAGACACAAATCAAAACAAATGGCTTGATTACTCATATCCTGCATGTATCATAGTCATTTGTTTCTGCCCAAAGTGAATGCAAAATGGATATAATAAATGCAACCAAATCAGAGGAGGAGCATAGTCTTCAATTCATCCATTTTAGCTCATGTTAAAATCTGCCCTGCCTTGTCTATGATATATATGGTGGAGTTGTAGCCATGTCGGTCCCTGTCTATTTTAGTCTGCTAAATACAAGCTGTGAGCTAAAGTACTTCTAAATCCATACATTTCTCTCAGCTGCCTCTTTTGAATGGGTACTGAGTATCAGCAAAACCTGGCCTCACCAACTGAGGAGCTGTAATCTAGACTCCCCTCAACCCCTGTCTTGTAGTCTGTCAGAGGGTGGCGCTCTGTCCTGAATATTTGGCAGAACTGGTTTTGCTAATTTTACACAACCAGGACTTGGGAAGACAATTAGCATTGATTATAAATATCAGTACAACACACTCAAGAGCACCTTTCTTTCAAGAATTACAAAGTATGATGTATTGAAATATCTAAAGGAAATGACTTAATCAGACAAAGTCTTCTAATGAAGGGTGTATGTGTATTTTGGAGCATTGATGCACACCTCTCACACAGAAGGGCTACGTCTACACTGGCATGATTTTCCGCAAATGCTTTTAACGGAAAAGTTTTTTCATTAAAAGCATTTGCAGAAAAAAGCGTCTAGATTGGCACGGATGCTTTTCTGCAAAAGCACTTTTTGTGGAAAAGCGTACGTGCAAATCTAGATGCAGTTTTGCACAAGAAAGCCCCGATCGCCATTTTCGCCATCGGGGCTTTTTTGCGCAAAACAGTTTTTAGCTGTCTGCACTGGCCCTCTTGCACAAAAACATTTCCGGAAAAGGGCTTTTGCCCGAACAGGAACGTCAAAGCATTTGCACGAGAAGCACTGATTTTGGACAGTAGAACGTCAGTGCTTTTGTGCAAAATCAAGCGGCCAGTGTAGACAGCTGGCAAGTTTTTCCGCAAAAGCAGCTGCTTTTACAGAAAAACTTGCCAGTCTAACGCAGCCAAGAAGAAAAATATATGCTTCTATATAAGTTAGGAATGAGGAAGCGATACCGTGAAGGAAGTGTCAGGCCCCATGCATGTTGTCAGAAGAGAAACAGATTTCCTTCTGACATATCCAAGGCATATCCTGTAGGGTTAGAATGAATCACAGAGCCTAGAAATGTAGTCCAAAGCTTTTAAAATTATTACTAACTCGTCTACTCTTTGGAACTGCAAGCTCAGCCTAACCTCATGGCTCGCTAGACAACATGCTGGGTGATGGCGTTAATGATAAAACCTTTGCCTTTTTTGAATGTTCTCTTTTGTATCCAAGTTGATATAAAAGCCCATTTGGTCTATAAAATAAAAAATGACTGGTGTTGTGTATTTGAGGACAACACTGGCTGAAGAGATGGAGGAACTCCTGGCCAGGGGATGTTGTGAAGGCTAAAACTATAACAGGGCTCAAAAAAGAACTAGATTAAATTAATGGAGGATAGGTCCATCAATAGCTATTAGTGTGGATGGGCAATGCCAGAAGCTGCAAGTAAACACTAGGGATGGGTCACAGGTGATTGCCTGTTCTGTGTATTCACTCGGAAGCATCTGGCCTTGGCTACTGTTGGACAACAGGATACTGGGCTAGATGGGCCATTGGTCTGACACAGTATGGCCACTCTTATGCTAACATGCCACTATAATGTAAGATGATTGGCTTCCTGCTCACTCCATACAGGTAGGCTATGTCTACACTGCAGGCTTCTTGCGAAAGAACTGTTTTGTGGAAGAGTTC